AGAGAAAGGAAAGACAGGGTAAGGCTAAGGGAGAGAAAGGAAAGACAAGGTAAGGCTAAGGGAGAGTAAGGGAAAGCAAAGCTGAGAGTGGAAAGATGTCTATAGTCACCACCCACGGGGTCCAGCGACGAAACTTGGTAGTTGCAGCTTCCATGTCTGTCAGTTGAAGTGGTGGCCTTGATCTGCTGGGGGTGAAGGAGGGAAGCCCCCACACTCCAAGAAGTTATGAGTTATTACATCCATGGTCAGTGTCACGGGCCATGCCTCGAGCCTCCAGCCTCTCCCTGGGCCCTGCACAGAGTTTCTGTGTCTGGCCTGGTTCCCACCTTTTTTTTTAGATTGGCAGAGAGGGGGATGGGCTCAACTGTCCACCCGAGGTATAATGCAAGTCAAAAGCCTGCAGAAGTCTCCTAGAACGCATAAATCATCGACCATTTCAGCCTCTGACAACCGCTTGTCGTCCCCACCAGGCTACCGCATCCGGCTGGGCTCCAGCACGGACAAGAAGGACACGGGGCGCCTGCACGTGGATTTTGCCCAGGCCAGGGATGACCTGTACGAGTGGGAGTGCAAGCAGCGGATGCTGGCGCGGGAGGAGCGGCACCGGCGGCGGCTGGCGGAGGAGCGCTTCCGCCCGCCCTCGCCGCCGCCCGTCGTCCACTACTCCGACCACGAGTGCAGCGTGGTGGCCGAGAAGCTGAAAGGTGAGTGACTCTCTGGGGGGCCGTGGCCACCCTTCTGTCCAGTGCTGGACAGAACTCCTGTGTTCTCCTGGGGTTGTTTTGCTGAGTTGAGGTTGCCCCTGGCAGCTCTCCGGGCCGTCTCCCTCTCAGAATTGTTTCTTTTTTGTCAAAACAAACCTGTACTTGAATTTATATTCGTAGAATCCCGGCTTGGAAGGGACTTCAAGGCTCAGCTGGCCCAACCTTTCTTGGCAAAAGCACGGTCTAGGCCAAATGGCCCAATGTCCTGCCCAGCCCAATCTTGAAAATATCTGATATCACAGAATCAACTAGGTTGGAAAAGACCTCTGAGATCATCGAGTCCAACCGATGACCCAACACCACCTCGTCAATTAGACCATGGCACTGAGTGCCTCATCCAGTCTTTTCTTAAATACCTCCAGGGATGGTAACTCTACCACCTCCCTGGGCAGCCCATTCCAGTGCCCCAATCACTTCTTCCTAATGTCCAACCTAAACCTCCCCTGGTGCAACTTAAGACTTATGCCTTTTTGTCCTACTGCTGGTTGCCTGGGAGAAGAGACTGACCCCCACCTTCTTACAACCTCCTGCCAGGGAGTTGTAGAGAGATATTGGGGAATCCAGCACTTCCTATGGCTGATTGTTCCCACTGTGAAAAATTGACCTCTTGTGCCCAATGGGAATCTCCCCAGGAGTACCCATTCCCCCTCATCTTTTCCTTGTGACTCCTTGTAAAATAAGGAGTTTCTGTATTTTTTGTAGCCACCCTTTATATCCTGGAACATGGTGACATGGTTTCCCCTAAATCTTATTTTCCCAAGACTGAACAAACCTTTGGAGTGCAACAAACTTGTGCGGATCAAAACTGCTCAGTACAAGTTTCTTCCAGAAAATTTTGGTTAAAGGTTTAAAGGACTAGTATAAGTCCTATACCTAGTTTGAAGCCTGAGACCCATGTTTGACCTGATGATTTTGGAGCTGGAGGGTATTTCCTTTCACAGAAGGGTACATCTGAGTAGACATGAAGTTTTGCAGTAGGTTTCTAGCAGTTGGTCCTCCTCTTGTTGCACCTCAGCAGATGATTTGCTCCATCAGTTTGGTTTTAGACTTTGTACAGCTGTGGGTTCAGATCATTCCATGCTTCCAGGAGTTGTGATGAGCCACCTGAAGGAAGCTGACCATTGAAAGAGCGGTTCAGCGCCAGGGAAAGGACCTGAAAGCTGCCCAGGCAACCCCATACCTGTGGTGTAAAGCTGTCCTTTCTTGCTACAGATGACACAAAGTTCTCAGAAGCCATCCAGACCTTGCTGACCTGGATAGAGCGTGGGGAAGTGAACAGAAGAACTGCCAACAACTTCTACTCCATGATCCAGTCGGCCAACAGCCACATCCGCCGGCTCGTCAACGAGAAAGCGGCTCACGAGAAGGAGATGGAAGAAGCTAAAGAGAAGTTCAAACTGGCTCTCTCAGGGATCCTGGTGCAGTGTGAGTAGTGTTTCCACACTGGATGTTGGTTGTCTGGTGTAGGGAAAACTCTCAATTTCTAGTCTGGAGAGGCCACACTAAAAGGGCTCCAGGAAAAGAAGTAGCAATGGCTTCCCTGCAACTACAGCTCGTTTAGAATCAGGTGTCATTCACTTGGCAAAAATTCCTCATGGTACTTTTTGCTGGGGTAAGAGTCCACATCTGGGGGGGGAGAAGAGAATGAATGTTGAATTTGTTTCCTCTTTTAATTATCATCTGTTAGTAGTTCTGTCATCTTTTCAACTCCTCCTGTGCACAGACAAGGTAAGTTCCTGGGAATCTGGTGCCTCAGCGAAGTGTGCAGGATTTATTCACCAAAGGTAGGACACAGCAGAGTGTTTCCAACAGCCTGTTGCAGAACCTGGGTCTTTCAAATCCCAGTGCTTTATTAAATGAGGAAATAAGGAAGAGGCATGGACTGTATTAATTCCAGAACGTGTTTTGTAACAGTTCCTCAGACCGTTCATTGCCTCTTACACATCTCTGTTAAAGTAAATCTGAGTATTTTTACTTCTTTATGAATACCTTCTCCACAATTGTACTAATTTTCTTTGATCCTCTTGCCTGGGTTGTGAACATTCTTAACTTTTGATTTTATATCTAATAATTTCAGCTGCTACTTGATTTTTTTTTTTAAATTCTTTTTTTCTTTAAATTCTGTTACTGGTAAAAAATATGGGCACACGGTCCAGAGGGACATACATTGAGCACTGCAGAGTAAGTAATTATAGAGATTAGTGTGTAACTCCACTCCCTAAAACACAACTGAGATCTCAGCCACTCTTAGGTTACTCTGAGAAGCAGGGAGATGCTGTAATTGTTACGAAATAAAAACTACTGCATCACAAGCATAAAAACCCAATCAGGTAGATGTGCTTTGTGCTGTGGGTGAGCACTCAGCCAAGGAGAAGCACTTTGTATATCCGAAATGCTTTGGGAATTTTCTAGAGAAACAGAAGGAATAAATTTCAGGACCAAGAAAAGCTGATGGAAAGTGCCAGGATCCTTTTCCTGTAGGTCACACAGGCTGTGGCACTGCCCTTTGGGATGTCCCAAGGGCCAGAACTCACGGTTGTACCTCATCATCCCCTTGTGGAGGTCGAGTCCTGCCCCCCTGGACTCCTTACACTCCCAGCCAGCCTTGCACAGCAAATTTGGATATTTTTCAGCACACACATGCTGCCTTTTTTTCCCACATGTCCTGCCTGTTTCCCAGCTGAGAGCAGAGCCCGTTTCCCAGTTGGTCGTTACCCGGGAGTGTTTGGCAGAGGCCTGGTGAAGCCCACACTTCTCTTTCCAGGCACTGAGCCTCTTCCCTGAGCGTAGCATCAGCACAGTACAGTGTTATAAGAAAAGGGTAGCCAAACCACCTGCCTGATTCCACTTTTTTACTCCTTTACTCCTCTTGTTCGCCCTCTCTGGATGCTATTCGGGCCCGATTTGCTGCTGATTTGACACTCCAGTCGAGCAGATAGTGGCCGTGTACCATTCTGCCTCCAAACAAAAGGCTTGGGACCATTTCACGAAAGCTCAGCGTAAGAACATCAGCGTGTGGTGCAAACAAGCAGAGGTTGGTAATCTTTTCTTGTGTTAGAATCCTCCAGCACGGTCTCTTGCTTGTCAGGATGTTGATGTTAAGTGTGCGCGATGCTCGCGTGGATAACAACACCTTCGTTCACAGTGTGAGGTGGGAATTGCTCACTCAGCTCTCCTGTTACAGGTAATAAATTTCCTCTTGGTATTCGTGTTACAGGTAATAAATTTCCTCTTGGTATTCGTGTTACTCCTAGCGACACATCGAGACCTGTCTGCTGATTGAAGCTGTGCACAACGATAGTAGTAATAATAGTAATAATAATAAATATTGATTTTTTTGTTCTGCTGGTTTTAGTATTAAAGGAAGAGGGATTTCTAGAGAGATGGTAAAAAAAAAACCAAACCAACAACAAACATTCTGATGACATTTAGGTCATCAGAATCTGTTTTATCACATTTTTCTGTGATATTTCGACCTTGAGAGATGGAAATAATTGCAGCTGGACAGTGTGGAAGGCTTGAGGGAGGTTTTTTTCAGATAAGGGAGTCAGGCAGAATGTCAGAAAAAAGGGAGCTAAGGTAAAGAAAGGGGGTCCATTGGGAAAGTGATGGTCTGGTTTGTCCTGGGGTCTGTGACTCAGGTGCAGGACCTTACACTTGGCCTTGTTCAGTTTCATGAGGTTTGATCCCACTCCTCCACACTGTCCTGGTCCCTTTGGTTGTCATTCTTTACCTGTAGTATAAATCATCCTCCAGTTCTGGGTTTTTCTTGGATATAGAGTTCCTTATTACAAACTTGGAATAGGCACATCTATCCCAGCAAAGCCAGGGGTCGTCTTTCACCTCTAAGATTATTTGACATCAAAAGTGAAATCGGGCAAAGCTGAGAGTCTGGTGGTCCGTGATCACCACAGGCTGGGCATGTCCAGGCCTGTGATCCCCATGGATTGGGGGTGTCCAGCCCACCTTCCCATACAGCTGCTGCCTGGGAAGAATCTGTGGCGCTGGATCATACCCAGCCAGGGCCCTTCTGGTACCAAGCAGATGGTCCCTCCTCCACCATGGTGGGACACTTTAAATGGCTGTGTTGTCCTGGGAAGTTTCCTACTCTGATCTCCCCATGAGTGTGCACTTCTGGGACTTTGAAATTCCCACTGAGTCAAACCTCTGTAGTCGCTAAAGGAGGAGCCAAGGTTTCCTCTCCACCTGAGATGCCAGGTGCAGTGTGACTCAGACTGTTCCTCCACCCCGAGCCCCAGTGCTCCCGTTCTTCCCTACTTTCTGATTGCTCACTATGGCTGGGGTGGGAGCTCTCTCTCCAGTTGGAGCTGTCTTTTGTTCCAAGGTAAGTTCTCCCGGTGGGAAGAGGCTGTGAGACCACTGGTGAAACCTCTTCCAAGAGCACTTGCTCCTGGGCTCAGCGTCCTGCTCTCCCCCAGCTTAGGGTCTGCTCTTAAATGAAGGTGGAGCCACAAGATGCAGCTTCTTGGTACAGATTTTGACAGATATAGATATATATATATATATATATATGTATAAAAACATTGCTAGCATCTGCAATTTAAAATGTCTCTTACGTCACTGTACATATCACATGCTGGGTAAAGGGTGTCTCAGCCTTTTGGGGTCACCTTGAGGAGGTCTCTGCTCAAGGGACACCCCACTCTGGTGCTGCACAGGTGGGCTCAGGGGGCTGCAGGTATTTGTAGTGCTAAGAGATGGACCTGTAGGCAAACCTCCTTTGCTGTACATGCAGGTGTGCAGCTGTAGCAGTCTTGGTTTGGTCTGTCCCAGCTCAGGCTGGGACTTCTTGGCTCCAGAGTATTTAAGGTTGAGCAGAATTCCTTGTGGTTTGCACAGCAAGTCTGACTTGCCTCGTCACAAGAGCAGAAGGAAGATGGAAGAGTCAATAACTGCAGTAGCACTGACAGATTAACTCATGCTGGGTATTGCCCTTGATTTAAATCATCTGTGTCAATTTTTAAATCATTTCCCCTTTCTTGTGTCACAGAGTTGTGTTTTGCAGACTTACATTTCAGCAACATTTCATCCAACCAACCTGTTCCTTCTAATCTGTATTGAAATTCCCTCTACTTTCTGAACCCCAGGAAATCCGTAACATCCATAACGATGAGCTGATGGGTATCCGGAGAGAGGAGGAGATGGAAATGTCTGATGAAGAAATAGAAGATCCATCAGAGATGAAAGAAACGGAAGAATCAGGTAAAATCAATTTTTGCAGCTCATAAAGCGCTTGTCTTCAGCGGTTTCTTTCAGGAGGCCCATTCTGAGTGTTTTGCACCCCAAAATGGTCATGGGCAGAGCAGAATCAGTGCAGTTCCCTGGAGTCATTTCCTCTCAGTGCCTGGGTCTGCAGCCAGTGTTTCACTGCTCCCTGCCATGGTCAGGGGAACCTGAGCTGCTGTCCCTAGTGAAGTGTGCTGGGATTAATGGGGCAGGATGTGGAGGAGCTGGAAGCTTTCTCCAGAGGCGAAAGCAAAGCTCTACCCTATGGAAGCTAATCCAGAGACAGCAGCTCAGCAGCAGTGTTACACTACAAACCCACAACCTGCCTTCTCCTGGAGATCATAGAATCCTGGGGTGGTTTGGGTTGGAAGGGACCTTAAAGATCATCCAGTTCCACTCCCTGCCATGGGCAGGGACACCTTTCACTAGCCCAGGTTGTTCAAGCCCTGTCCAACCTGGCCTTGGACACTTCCACGAATGGGGCAGCCACAGCTTCTCTGGGCAACCTGTGCCAGAGCTTCACTACCCTCGCAGGGAAGAATTTCTTCCCAGTAACCCATCTAACCCTCCCCTCTGTCAGTTTGAAGCCATTCCTCTTTGTCCTGTCACTCCAGGCCTTTGTCCAAAGTTCCTTTTCAGCTCTCTTGGAGCCCCTTTAGGCACTGGAAGGGGCTCTAAGCTCTCCCTGGAGCCTTCTTTTCTCCAGGCTGAACCCCCCCAGCTCTCCCAGCCTGGCTCCAGAGCAGAGGGGCTCCAGCCCTGTTGATATCCCAAACAGTGCCGGGGAGGCATTTCTTTGGGTGCTCAGCACTTTTCACCGGGAGCTGCTGAGCCCCTGTATGTGGTGTGTGAGGGGAAGAAGCACCCAGGAGCTTCTTGCCCCGGGTTGTTTGACTTTTGTTGCGTTCCCAGCGCTGGTGTCGCAGGTGGAGGCGCTGAAGGAGGAGAACGACAGCCTGCGCTGGCAGCTGGACGCCTATCGCAACGAGGTGGAGCTGCTCAAGCAGGAGCAGGGCAAAGCCTCCCGGGATGAGGACACCACCAAGGAGCAGCAGATGAAGCTCCTCCAGCAGGCCCTGCAGGGCATGCAGAAGGTGGGACCGGAGGCAAAAGGGGCTGGGATTGGGGGGGGCAAAAACACACGTAAAAACACTCCGGCTTTGGCGGGATCCAAACCGGCAAATGGGAGCGACTTTGTCATTACCAGTGTTGTCAAAAAAACCCCAAATGGCCAAATATTTCGACTGGTGGCTGTATAAGCTGATGAATCCCATGAAAACGAGTCATAGTTCATGGATTCCTTGTGTGGTCTTTGCTTGACCCTACTGTGACTTCCAAAGTACCAAGCCTGTGTGCCCCTATAACTGAGTAAGAAAGTGGGAAATCCATCCACTGGTGATGGAATTACTGTCCCATATTTACACAGTATGCTAATAGGCAAAGGCATTTCCAAGGTACATTGTAGACTCTTCTTGGTTTATGCTTTACCTTGTAGTAGTTCTGGATATGACCTGTCTGGTCTTCATGGAAAAGCCCTTCTTTGTTTTATAGTCTTTAAATAATAGGAGGTGGAAGGCAGGTTAAGAACTGAGTTTATCTTTTCTCTTCCAGCATCTTTTGAAAGTCCAGGAGGAATACAAAAAGAGAGAAGCAGAGTTAGAAAAAGTGAAAGAAGACAAATTAAAAGTGGAAACGTTACTAGAAAACCTGAAGGAGCAGGTATGTGTCGTCCAGGGCTTCTTTGTGCAGTCCTTGGATTCCATGGTCCATCAGGAGCGTGGTGAAGGACCTCTGTCCTTCTGTAATCTTGTAGAGGATGCCCAGCCCTGGTAGGAGCAGTTGTCCTTGGAAAGTGAGGAAAAACGAGCTGTTAAATTGGAGGATGTCTGTCAGTAATGGACCTGCTGGTGGCTTCATGTACCTGTGAGAACAACTGTATAAATAAATAGTAACTCTCATTGTACACAGCTGGTATCACAGCTGGAATGGGGTTTTCTGCAATCTGAGCTTTACAAGATAAGAAGAAAGGTCTCAATTATCAGACATTGGTTTTTAGATTTGTGGTTTAGGGGCATGTTTTGATCTGCCCTCCTTAAACCACTATGGAATTGAAAGTTTTTGTCAGTGGTGTAATATTTTTATGCTTGCTTTATTCCAAACGTAAATGCATAGTGCTGCTTCTCAGGTGTGATCCACTCTGCTTTCATTGTGGATCCCTGCATGAATCTGCACTTGCTTGGTCCTCTCCTCTGTAGCACAGAGACAATTACACAAGAAACATGAGGCAGCACTTCTGCCCATGGAGCCAGACGCTGGGTTTTATCTCAGATTTTCCATCTTTAGCCCCATTTTTTTTGTGCCATGAGCTAGGGAAGACAGTGAACGTCTTTCTAGGAACTAAATATGGCTTTGCATATCCCAGTAACAATCAGAGCAGGAGCCTCAGAAGAGAAATAATAGATTATCATCAGTAATCTTTCCTTTCTTTGCCCATATATAGCAGAGCATGGCAGATGAAGAGGACAAGGAGGGAGATGCAGCTGATTGTCAAGGGAATGTGAGTCCAAGAGCTTCTTTTCTCTTGTTTCAGACAGAATCTCTCACTGATGGAGTAACAACACCTTAGTGTAAAATGAGCAGTGGTTTATGGGTTAGTTTGTGTGAGGTGAGCCTGGTACAGACAGATTGGCTTCATGTCCAAGGGAGAGGTTCTTCCCCCAGAGGGTGGTTGGGCACTGAACAGGCTCAGCTTGTCCCTGGATCAACTTCCACCAGGCAGAGCTTTGCTTTCTCCTCTGGAATGTGGAAGCTCAGGCCATTTGGGCACAGCCTCAGCCCTGTGTAGCTGAGAACTGCACTGATGTATGAATTTGAGCAAACCCAGGGGACTATTCAGTTCTATGTTTGTCACTGGCCCCCCTCCAGCCCATCTCACTGGTGACTGGAAGCTGTTCCCAATTATAGCTGTCCACAGCTCTCAGGCCACTGGAATTCCGCATAAAACTCAGGAATAAAAGCAAGTCCTGCTTTTGGTGCACCCACCATCTTTGCATCGCTGTCAGACTTGTGTTTATTTCAGAGATAATAAATTACGCCAAATTCTCTTTTAATTCAGTACCACAAACTCAAGTCAGGGACAGTCTGATCCTAAACCCTGGGCGGCCCCTGGGCACTTGGTCCATCACATTTGCCTCAGTTTGGGCATTTGAAAATTAAAGCTCTTCAGCTGAATTAGCCATGGCAAGGCTTCTTGCTCTGGTCTGTATTTTGTTATTTAAAACATGACCCTTCCGGAGCAGACATCGTGTCACAGAGCAGGGCTGGTGCACTGAGTGTGGTGGCATCTGGCTGAACTCCATGGGCTTTTCATCTCACTTGGCAGATCACACACAGGACCACGGACACGGCTGTGCTTTGCTGGAAGCGTTTTGGAACATAACCAGTAGATACACCAGTGATGGGTGCAGTGACTCAGAGAAACAGGAGAACCCCAGGGCAGGCTCTGAGCCTGCCCCTGCCTCTGCCTGGTGTGCCAGGGTGGCTGCTCTTGCCTGCAGCGGGCCCTGTGGTTTTGTTTTGCAGGAGAGCAGCACATCCAGAGTTTGTGCCTGCAGCCAGGAGAAGGAATGTCCAGTGGAGAAGACGTTGAGCAACAGTCCTGTGAAATCTGAACGAGAAGTTCTCCTAGTTGGTGAGTTCTGAGGGGCTTGGTGGTGATGCTGAGCTGGGGGGACTTGCTTCAAGGTCGCCTCGCACTCCCTCTGGCCTCCTTTGGTTCCTTTGGTTATCCCAGGGGAGGTGGGACTCCTGGAACCAAGGGAAACCTCGAGCTTTGGCAGGGTCAGGGTGTCACTTTGTGACACTCTGGCCCCCAGCAGTGGCCCGGGGCTGGTGTTCCCAGCTGGTTCTTGTCTCATGACAATGACATTTGTGGTGTTCCTTTCCCCAGGAATAATTTCCACGTTTCTCCACGTGCATCCCTTTGGAGCCAGCATTGAGTACATCTGCTCCTACCTGCAGCGCCTGGACAGCAAGGTGGGTATGGGGACTGGTGGGGGCTGGACAGAGAGGACTGCAGGAATCTGTTCCCTGCAGGAATCTGCTGGAAGGGGTGAACTTTCTTGGAATCACACAATGGTTTGGGTGGGAAGGGATCTTAAAGCCTATGTCATTCCACCCCCCTGCCATGGGCAGGGACAGTTGCTACTAGACCAGGTTGCCCAAAGCAGCTCAGCTTTGGGGTTCTCCACAAACCCATGTCCCCAAGTGCAACATCCACATGGCTTTTAAATCCCTCCAGGGATGGGGACTGCACCACTGCCTTGGGCAGGGAAAAATCTCTGTAGCAGACGTGTTTTTGTTTATTCTGTTGAGTTTGCTGCCTTTGGGCAGTTTCCCTTTATTTTCCTTATGACCTCCAAGGAGAGGAGCAAACAACCACCTTGTGCATCAAACATCTCACACCCTCTGCTGTGGCCCTGTTTGTGTGTGTTCTCCCTAAACTGAGCAGTCAGTCTGTCTCTGAGCAAAGTTCTTGGGTTTTTTTTGATCCTGTCACCCTTTCCTGAGCCTGTTCTGTCTCTGATCCTGTTGGTGGGGGTCTGTGGGAAGACAGGGGTCGATCCCTGGTTGTGGGGTGACTGAGGGCAGTAACCAGCC